CTAAGTGTGCATCGTGACGTATAAATGAGCATGTAAATCTGTGCTCTCTTTTTGCCCTCTTTTTTTCCTGGCACTGTGTAACTGTCCTAATGGCACTGCCAACGCATTGTCTGATACGACGATAAGGTCATGTAAAAGCCCTTTCTTAAGGGTGCAGAGCCGTGTCCCGCTTTTAATATACGCTTTGCACCGGAAACCTTTTCAAAACACATTTAATTAAAACGGGGGCTTGGGAGATCTCCTGCTCATCCTGCTTGCTTTCTTGCCCACAGCAGAGAGACACAATGGCTTGTCCTGATTTATGACAGCCGAACGAGGCATCCAAAGAGGAAGCTCCCTTTTTATAGCTTGTTTAAGGGTCGCCTTCTCTAAAGTCAACGCATGTTCCCAAGCATGAAAAAGAGAATGTGGCGGTGGTGGTGAGGAGGAGGGGACGGAGTCGGGAATATGGGAGGGAAAAAAGCAAATAAAAGAATTGTGCACCACTTTCCTTTTATTGTTTGTTGCTGGTCTCTACGATGTTCCCTCAGGGCACACAAAGCTTATTTCACTGTAAGATTAGAAGACTTGCTGAGTGCAAAGATGTCTGCCAGGCAGGAAGTTGCGAGGCAGGATTTCTTCAGTCGTTCCACAGTGCCACACCAGGGATTCCTTCCTTGCCTTTGTGCTGCTTCGCTTTGGCGGCTGTGGTCTCCTCTGATGTTTCGGCACAGCGCAGAGGTGATTCATTTGGCTAGGTGGTAACCCTCAAGCTCTTAGCTCTTGTCAGTTTCTCATTAGTGTGCCAAAGTTTGCGGAAGAACTTGTGTGCTTCCTTCCGCCTATTGCTCTCTTCTGAGGAACATACAATGCCATCTTTCTATATTTTTCATGACGCACACAGATACTTGCAATGACAGACGCAGTTAAGCACTTTAAAGTCTCCTTGATTTCAGTGGCATGTTCTTTACTCCCCAGTTGCTACGGATGGGATTTAACAGGGCTTAATTTGGGCTAGATTGGGCCCATTTCTGCACTTTTATGCAGTGTGGTGTAGTGGTTAAGAGCAGTGGACTCGTAATCTGGTGAACCGGGTTCGATTCCCCTCTCTTCCACATGCAGTTGCTGGATGACCTTGGGCTAGTCACACTTCTCTGAAGTCTCTCAGCCCCACTCACCTCACAGAGTGTTTGTTGTGGGGGAGGAAGGGAAAGGAGAATGTTAGCCGCTTTGAGACTCCTTAGGGTAGATAAAGTGGGATATCAAATCCAAAACTCTCTAAAAGCTCCCTGGTTCCATTCCCAGCATCTTCAGCTTGGACTTGGAGAGACCCCTGTAGCTCAGTGGTGTTGCGTCCTTTCCTGGTGCAGAAGGTCAACAGAACCCACCACACCAGCCCCGTTCTTGCTGCCAACGCCGCTGGAGTGTGGAGGGTTTATGGAGCTTGCCTGCCAGCTCAGTCCTGGCCACCGGAACCTTACTGCACCCCTGCCCACCGTGCAGCGAGCAACTTGGCTGGCCAATGCTGCCCTTTGTGGGCAAATCTCTCCCCTCCCAATGCTGGCCAGGCGGCTATTCAGTGAGGGGGCTGAAGATGTGGCGGTGAGGCCAGGCCAGGCTTCGGGGCCCAGACCCCTGGTGGCAGAATGGGGATCCCTGCATGGGGATGGTTGGCTCGTGCCCCCTAAAATTTGTGTGTCCAAGGCTACGGCCCCCAGACTTTCTCCCGCTTTGCTCCTGCTGTAGCTGCAACCCTTGGGAGCTGCTTCCAGCCAGTGTTGACAAGCTTCCGTAGTTTGGAGTTGGCTTCTATGGATCTCTCTGCCTTAACGACACAATATGTTGTGCCTGCTTAAAACGTTTTTGTTTAGGCAAGCCAACCCAGACTTGCATAAGTTTTATGAGCTTTTAACTTGATTTTAATTAGTTTTTAAATGTGTGTGTTTTTTTAAAAAATAATAATACAGTGGGGATTATGGAATAGCTCACAAAATGCTGCTCCGCTTGCCATGTTGGCATTTCTCCGTGGGTCAGAGCACTGACCTGGCACACGGACCATAATGTCCACCCCAATTGCTTATTGGGTAGCCTTCTGGCCCACAGAACTGGCCTTTAACTATTTGCATGGGTAGATCTGGAAATTATTTTAAACACCACAGACTGTTGATAAGCTAATGGCTATTAGCAACGGCAAATAAATTGGCTAGGTGTTTCGTGTTGTTTTAACAGCTTCGCCAGACAGCTGCCTTGGATTGAGACAATATTCCGTAACTCTGTTTACCAGGTTACTCTTTCAGCTTGCCATTTACTTTATGTCTGTGTCAGGAGAGCAAATTTTTATTGACTCTGATCCACGGCTCAGGGACTCAATTCCCCATTGTTATTAGAAATGCAGAAGGCTGTTCCTTTAAAAACACACACCATTGAAAGACGTATTTGTTTGGCTTGGCTTATTAATATTTGATTCCAGTTATTTTCTACTGTGACTTTGTTCGGTGCCCTGGAATGTCTGCACAAAGGACACTTTATAATGCAAATGTTGATTTGATTGAAAGTTCTCAGGGAAACCAGATGCGGGCGTTGTTGTTTTTAGTGTGTGGAATTGATTGCAGTGCCATGCGTCCTTAAGGAAAGCTACAATAGGCAAAACAATGAGAAAGGTTGTTGTTCTGGAGATTCTATCGTTGCTTTTGTTTGGGAGTTCTATCATGCGAATAGAAGCCGATTCTCATTCATCCCCCATTTCTTCCCATTGTGTGGGCCTGTTGTACCCTTCATTTATCTACTTGCCTCAGAGATTAGCTACTTCATTTTGCTACAGGTGCTTCCCAGTGTCATAGCGAGGAGCAACCATAGCAAGACAACCCTAAAACAATAGGTGCTCCATTAAAAAAAAAAAAAAAGTACTTCCTATTGCAAGGGTTTTTGAACTACCGCTGCTGTGATCTATGCAAGAAATCTCCCCGCTGCGCAAATCTTAGTAGCCCAGGTAGATTTGCAATGGTTGCAATTGCCTTTTCCCAATTCCACCAGATGAAAGTATTGTTGATAGAGTGATCGGTTCACAGAATCTGCACACCTGTCATCACACCTGGTGGAAGCAAAGATTCGGAAGCAACGGAAAGCAGCACAGTCAATGTACTCTTACTGAAGAAACTTTCCTGAATAAATTAATTGGTGGAACTAAAAAGTAAATAAAAATCCATGTCTTAGTCTTGAAGTTGAGAATTAGGTCTCATCACTTCAGTGTTGTTGTTTAGTCGTTTAGTCGTGTCTGACTCTTCATGACCCCATGGACCAGAGCATGCCAGGCACTCCTGTCTTCCACTGCCTCCCGCAGTTTGGTCAGACTCATGCTGGTAGCTTCGAGAACACTGTCCAACCATCTCGTCCTCTGTCGTCCCCTTCTCCTTGTGCCCTCCATCTTTCCCAACATCAGGGTCTTTTCCAGGGAGTCTTCTCTTCTCATGAGGTGGCCAAAGTATTGGAGCCTCAGCTTCACGATCTGTCCTTCCAGTGAGCACTCAGGGCTGATTTCCATCAGAATGGATAGGTTTCATGTTCTTGCAGTCCATGGGACTCTCAAGAGTCTCCTCCAGCACCATAATTCAAAAGCATCAATTATTCGGCGATCAGCCAAACTCTCCACTATGACCTGTTCATCTTGGGTGCCCTACACGGCGTAGTTCATAGCTTCTCTGAGTTATTCATGTCCCTTCGCCATGGCAAGGCAGTGATCCATGAAGGGGATCACTTCAATAATGGAAGCTTAATGGAAGTTTTTCCCAACTCAAGCTCAGGCAAGAGGTTCAGTACCCGGGCTTGGGTTTTGTTGGTATTAATATTACTTCTGCATTGAGTGATCGTCCTTTCTCAGGAATGGGAAGACAATGTTGGCTTATACATAGTTGGCTTACATCAAGGTGGATCACTGCTCCATCTAGCAATTGTGGTGCTCTCCAACTGTTTGTTGGATTCCAGCATTCATCATCCCTTGCCATCGGTCATGCTGGCTGAGGCTGATGGCAGCAGAGTCCAGTGATATCTAGTGGGCACCACATTGGCCACCCCTTCCCTACACAGACTGGCAGTGGCTCTTCATGATTTCAGACAAGCGGCCTCTCTCGGCTCTACCGGGAGATGTCAGGATTGAAGCTGGGCCTCTGCACACAAACAGACTCTCCAAATGTCCCTATTTTCCAGGGATAGTCCCGGATTTACAGACGCTGTCCCAGTTTCCAATTTGATCCTGGAAATCTCCCACCTTTCCTTAGGACGTCCCCATTTTCATTGCAGAAATGTTGGAGGGTATGGAGTTATGCGACCCCTGAGCCAAGAAGATAAGTAATTATACAACTGTTAGAAGACATCTCAAGGCAGCCCTGTATAGGGAAGGTTTTTTTTAAAAAAAGTTTAATGTATTATTATGTGTTTATATATACTGGAAGCCACCCAGAGTGGGTGGGACAATCCAGTCAGATGGGTGGGGTATAAATAATGAAATTACTATTGCTATTGCTATTACTATTGAATAAAAGGTATCCCTGCCTGTACGGGCCAGTCGTGTCCGACTCTGGGGTTGCGTGCTCATCTCGCTCTAGAGGCCGTGAGCCAGCGCCGTCTGAAGACACTTCCGGGTCACGTGGCCAGCGTGACGAAGCTGCAGCTGGCGAGCCAGCACCAGCGCAGCACACGGAAACGCCGTTTACCTTCCTGCTATAAATCGGTCCCTATTTATCTACTTGCACTTAAGAGTGCTTTCGAACTGCTAGGTGGGCAGGAGCTGGGACCGAACGACGGGAGCTCACCCCGCCGCGGGGATTTGAACCGCTGACCATACGATCGGCAAGTCCTAGGCACTGAGGTTTTACCCACAGCGCCACCCGCGGCCCTACTATTGAATAGAATGCCCTATTTTCATAGGATAAATGTTGGAGGGTATGTGTAAAGCAAATGCTCTAACTGCTCTAATACTGAGCTATGGCCCTTTCTGTTAAGGATTCCAGGTTAGATCTCTCCTAGATAGCTCAGTTGGTTGGAGTGTGGTGCTGATAATGCCAACGTTGTGGGTTCAATCCCCCTGCATATTCCTGCATTGCAGGGGGTTGGACTAGATGATCCTCAGGGTCCCTTCCAACTCTACAATTCTATGATTCTATATCAGACAGGTAACATCTCAACAGAATATTAACCAGGTGTTCCATGCTTTCCTTGCACAATAGCTGAAGGCTGCCAGTTCTTGTCTCTGTCAAATTGGATGTAAACTCTATTTCTCTTCCACCTCAAAATGCAGCAATTCTCACACTGAACGGTGACAGTTACAGAAACTGTCTCGACTCCTTTTAACACAGCAATCTGAGGAGGTAAGTTTTTTCCTAGGTCAGGCTACCTTGGAATGAGTTTCTTCTCTAGGCCTGCAATGGGTCTTGTGATGTTTCTTCCCATTAGCAACTCTGCCGGGCTATGTAACTAGTAGCTATCAGCAGTGTTGACCTGTAACTTAAAAGGGCAACTATGCAGGTCACTCTTCCTCAAGATTTCCTTTGCTGTCTGTCTCCACTCTGCCTGCATGCTTGCTGAGGGTAGTGAGGGCTAGTGGTAATCTGGTGGAAATAGAGGTCTGGGACAACTGCTGTAAAATTGAGTTGCATTGTCTGTCTTTGAGTTCATCTGTTGCTCTTTAAAAGGCCACCCAACACGAAACTTCGTTCACAGTAATATCTTCTTTGAGCAAGCTGAGCGCCAGTGTCATAGGGAATGGGTAGAGGGGAAAAATGCCTTGGGGAATGATTGCTTTACTGCCTTTTTTTTTTACTAATAGGATTAGAAACAGTTTATGGCCTGAAAATGAAATGATAAAGCATCACCAAGTTGAGAAGAAGAAGAAGAAAAAGCCCTAACTACTTACCAAATGCCCAGGTTTTACAAGCGATTTCCTGTTGTTAAGTTTGCCATGGTAACATGTTGTGTCATAAATAAGTGTTAATCTTTAAAGCTACTTAAGGAGGACAGGAGAGCCGCTGTAATCCTTTCCTTGCCACCACATTTCTCAATTTCCCTAACTCCTCAGGAGAGTCTTAACTTGAAGGAGGTAATGGCTGTGCTGTTAGATTCCCCAGGCAGAGCCTGCTTGCAAAGCTTCTGCAGCCATTATATTACGTGGATCTGCATTAATGCCATTCTGCCACAAATTGTGAGCAGCACCACCCGTAAGAAATACTATTCTTTATAAGGGAAGGGCCACGGAACCTTGCTAGAGCATCTGCTTTGCAATGCAGGAGGTTCCAGGTTAACCCCCAGCAACTGGGAGCAGAGGTGCTGAATTGTGTCCAACAGTAGGGGTGTGTGTGTTTCCTGCCGTGTGTGTGTCTGTGAGATGTTACACACACGCCGCCCCCCTGAGGCTGTCTCCTCCCCCTCCAAAAGGCCTGCTGAGGCACTTTGGCAGTTTCCTTTGAGATCGCCTTCCTGGAAGGTGCCCTGGCAATCGTGAAAAAGACGCTTCGCCCCATCGTGTCTCTGCCAGAGGATGTACCGTATTTTTTGCTCTATAAGACTCATTTTTTCCCTCCTAATAAGGGGAAATGAGTGTGCGTCTTAAGGAGTGAATGCAGCTATCCCAGAAGCCAGAACAGCAAGAGGGATTGCTGCTTTCGCTGTGCAGCGATCCCTCTTGCTGTTCTGGCTTCTGGGATTCAGAATATTTCTTTTCTTGTTTTCCTCCTCCAAAAACTAGGTGTGTCTTATGGTCTGGTGCGTCTTATAGAGCAAAAAATACGGTATTAAGGCACCTTCAGTGTGCATGGTTGTCACAGAATTTTGAGGGGGCCCAGTACTCTCCTAGAAAATTGTGGGTGCTCCTTTTCTCCCCCCCCCGATGGTACCCCTGACTGGGATGCCATCTGACTATGCCATCCCTCTGTTTCCCTTTCCCTCCAGTGAAATCCCCAATGGAGAATAGATCACGAGCGACAGGTTGCAAGCAAACTTTATTATAACAGATGTAAACAAGGAGATTTGGTTCTTCTTCTTCCACAGAAATGTAACAAATAGGTTATTCACGGCGCAGTGCTGTTGCTTTTTACTAAAACGTATACTGTTTCAAGTTATAGGCTGTATGCTGTTCAGGCTTCAGGTTTCTTTCTTTTACACATCTTTCATAGATCAGACTTCTCCACACAAATGTCAGGAACTTAGGATTTCAACTGGGCTGTTTCCTTACAGACCCCCAAATCCTCCTTGGCCTCGGAATCACTCCTGCCCTTTCCTGTCAGAGTATTCCCTCTGAGGACTCCTTTTTCCTGTAAACACCGTGTGGGACTGAGTCCTTTCTATTTTAACAGTGTTCTGCGATCCAGAACCTTAGAGCATATGCTGAGAGTTCTCAGCTCTCCTCAGCTCTACCACCTGTCAGAAGGAACTCTCCTGACAGAATCCAACTCATAGACCAAATGAATCTCTCACACAGTCTCTCACTCCACCCCAAGTGCCTCCCTTTGAACTCTGGCCAATCAGGAGTTATTGCTAGATAACTGTAACACCCACACTTTCCAAAATGAAATTTAGAACTGTATAACAAAACTCATTAACTGTTTTATCAGAAATGAGGATTGAGTTGACTTTTTTGTGAGTTTTGATTTGTTTCTTTCTTGGGAACAAGCTCAAGAGAGTTTTTTGGGGGGGAAAGCTCCCGTCGATCTAGGACTTGAACAAAAACCCCAGCATTTTTCTTCTGGGACATTCTGCAAGCACATTTAAAAAGGTATTTTTTAATAACAATGAAACCAAAAATATAATAATAATAATTATGGCTCACCTTAATTTGGAGTGACTGTGGCAGACTTTTCAACATCATGCCCATGTAGTACCAGCAGTGAGTTACATTGTTCATTTCAGTGGAGGGAGCCAATCTGAGCATGCTGAGGAGCATGGTATCTCCAAATATTCCCACAGTAATCAGTGTTCAACCATGCATGTGCAAATTACAACTCATCCAGTTCCCAGCTGTCCATTTTAACATTCGTCTCTTCCTCATTGCACGGTTTCACTCAGATTGCAAAAGCTGGTGTGTGGGTTAAGAACAAGTTTTAACGTGCTTTGCATTAAGTTTTCCTTTTTTAAAAAATAATATTTATTGAGAATTTTAAGATTACAAAGAAACAAAGAAAAAAAAGAAGGAAAAAACAAGTAACATTTAAACAATACGAATCAATAAAAAAAAGATCAAAAAGAGAAAAAAGCAAAACACATAATACATCAAAATCAAAAAACAAAAATAGACAAAAAAATTAAAAACAAATCCAATATTCCCAAATCATTAACTGTCATTACCTTGTTTCATCGACCTCCTCATACCTCCCTTTTTTGTATTCTAGTTGTTAATTATCTCAGCAAATCCTTTCCATCTTTCATAATATTCTGTCATTAAATTACCTTAATCTATTTTAACCTTATCTTACCATAAAAGGCCCTAAAACTTAAAACTTAAATCTTATTTATACCAAATTCTCTTAACCATGACATATTCTTACATAATTCTTTTTAACATTTCTGCAAAAGCCAAATAGTTTCATTCCAACATTTTTCTAATACTCTTTACTTTTACAAAATTTTCCTAAATAAATTGTTTAAAACTTTCTTCCAATCTTCATCCAACGTTTCTTTCTCCTGGTCTCGGGTTTTGTCAGTCCTTTCTATCCCATCCATCTAGTCCATCAACCTGGTAACCTTATATCCGAGGCCCTTGGATCTCTTCCATGTCCCATCCGCAGATCTTCTTCATATTTATACCTGTGCTTTACTTTGTCTTCTGTTCCTTTCACTCGGGGAGACTCCAGCTTGACAATGTTTTTGTCCCTTCTCGACAGATCAGCCCCTTTTCCAAAGTCAACACTGAACTCCATATGGTATTTAAAAACATGTTTCAAAGTCCCTCCAAAGTTAAGGGCCCGCACAACCCCGGACGCCTCCCAGCCCAAAGCCAGACTTGAAAGGTCAAAACATCCCTGCATAGGGGGGTCTATCCAGCCCCCCATCTCCAAACCAAACAGAACTCTGTCTCTCCAAATCTGGCTTTCTCCAGGTTCATTCATCAAGTCCAACAACTCATGTTCCTGCTGGGCCGCAGTTCCCTCCATCTCTGCCTCACTAGGTCCAGCAACAGCCTCCTCCCTCATCTGATCTGTCAAAGCACACTCCTGAGTTAACTCCTGAGTGGGTTCTATATAAGTACCCACTGCCTGTCCAAACTTTCCGATCCCAACAGTCATCAAATCCATCTTCTCATGTAACTGTTCCAATAAAGCACTTGTCTTACAAAAGGCCAACACCAAAGCCTCCGAATACATTGTTGTTGAAGGTCAGAGTCTGTTCCCACGATCTTAATCTATTGCAGCTGCAAAGCTCCCCAGTTCAAATTTAATAACAGTTTCACAAGCTCCCTCTAGGGGAAAAAACTTCTATTTGTATCCATCTCTCTCCTTTTTTTTTTTAAAAAAAGCAGATCTAACAACAAAGTTTCCTTTTTCAGATATTTTGTCAATATTTTGTTCCTTTTAGATGCGAAGGGGAACAATGGAATCAATATGTTTCTCTTCTTTTAACTATCTGTCAAAAACGTTTGTCTATAGTCAATGAACTTCCCGAAGACAAAAAACAAAGTGCGAGACTGGCTTCATTATTATCAAATAATGGAGGCATTTAAATTGGACAGGAAAATTGGCTTCCAGGTGGAAAGATCCAAATTAGAAACAGAATTGTTAGAACCCAAGACTAAGAATTTGTCAAGAATGTATAACTTGCTGCTGAAATGGAATACTCAAGATGAAACGGTAAAATCGGCTATGATTAAATGGGCACAGGACGTTGGACATAACATTATGTTTGCTGACTGGGAACAGTTATGGACCACAGGTATGAAATTTACGGCATGTAATGCCTTAAGAGAGAATATTATAAAAATGATATACAGGTGGTACATAACCCCAGTCAAGCTTGCGAAAATCTATCACTTGCCCGATAACAAATGTTGGAAATGTAAAGAAACTGAAGGTACATTTTTTCACCTTTGGTGGACGTGCCCAAAG